AAGTGAGGGCAGCTCTTAGGATTCACACAGCTCTCAGACTAAACAGTATATAATAATGAGGAGATGCATAGTTTGAAACGGAAGTAATAACAGAAATGTAGGAATCAACTTTAAACACATTTTCTTTCTCCACCATGCTTTATGATATTGATTGAGGGAGGCAGCCATTCCAATTTAACTTCAGCACTGGACCACTTGACTGGTCTAGATTCAAGTCTGCGGTGGAAAGATTTATGATGCTGGGCCTATTTCATACAGCGCTTTCAGCTCCAAGTGCTTTACATTAAAGTCCAGACATCAAACAAAGTCAAATAAGACCAATAAAAATAGAGGAGTTTAAAAAAAGAAAAGAAATATAAGTAAACAAATTAGATTGTGCGTAACTTTTAATTTTACATGCAAATAAACAAAATTTGGAGGATATTTACTTTTTACTTTTTTAATTTCAATTATTCACAAATTTCTTCAATTAAAATCTATTTTTAATAACCGGCCCACCGAGTAAGTAACCTCAGAATCAGCAACAGCCCAACTGAGCCTTAAAAAAAATGAAGTAGTTAACCCAAAAACAAAATTGTTTTGATGATTTTAAGACATTTCTGGCCGCAGCCTTCGGGCAGCTGCTCGACCGCTAAAACGTCGTGAGGACTGAACTTCATAGCACGTCCCTGACAAACTGTAACAGTGTGTATATATAAATAAATAGTAAGTGTTTAACAGAACACCTTGCTGAATTGCTGGTCCATTTTATGCTCTTACTTCATGTAGTTTATGTATACACTGGTGTTCTAGTAACACATCAAAATGAGAGCGAGCGCACTATTGAACCCCTAAACACCCCAGGAAAAAAAATCATTCATTGTGTACTGCGTTTTAATATGCTTTACATATAATTACCTATGAACATGTTTTAGATAAGTTCAGTTCAGCTGTCTGGGAAAGTTTAATGCTGAAGCGATTAACCATGAACCAGCTTTAACAACAGTGTTTATAAAGTGTCGCCTCCTGAATCTCCGAGCTGCGTGTTCTGTTTTTAATGTGCATTCATTTCTGTCTCTGCCCAGATGGCCGGCCTTGCTGCTGTTGTCTCCTTTCACACGATTGCGTGATATTATGATTGGTGTGTTTTGTGCCCATCTCCTCTTTGATGCCCCATCAAACAAGAAATTTATTTTTATTTTTTTAATGACATATTGATGGCAAATTGATTTAAAATTGGCCTTATAGGAAATATTTGGTGTAGTTAAGCTGAAATAATACGACATTTTTATTCACAATCATGGACTCAATCTAAAAAAGACAAAAGGCTGTCTTTATAGGACCAGTTTAAAATGTTAAGCCTCAGTTGCACAGCCCTAGAGACTGGTTGGTGATCATCTGGCAAACACAGGTTGCTAGGGTAAAATGTCTATTCTCCCCAACTTTATTGGCAAGTAGTTGTTGGCTGTTGCCGGCTTTTTCCATGTGAAAGTAGTCACAAAGAGTGTGTCGCAGTGAAAACCTCGGTTTGGGCGCTAATGATACTGACACGGTCGTTTGTAGTTTGCATGAAACTAACTTGTCTGCAAACATTGAGCTGTAGTGGAACTAGGCCTGTGGGGCTAGAAACTGGTCCATTAGACTCTACAGCATCCTGTGTCCAAAATAGGAGACAAGTTAAAGTCACATGATTAGTGGTCATGTGACTGAATACCCACATGTTCGGGGTTTTTTTTGGTTTTTTTGCATTAATATTTTCACCTATTTATGGGATAGAACAAATCTAGTTACTTAATTGTTTTACTAAACAAAAATAGTTGCACTACATTATGTTAGTACTTGTTGTAGCATTAAAAAGTCTAGCCACCCACAGTGCACATTTGCCCAGTTTAAGTGAGCACGTAAATGTCAACTCTTGTGGTTCATTGTGTTTAACATAGAAAATGAAGTAAGTATAAGGACACAATGATCTACACACCAAACAGCTTTTATTAAAGGATTTAACATTTTAGAAACATGCTCAAAACGTGATGCCGTATCACTCCCGTTCCCGGGAATTCTAGGAGACATAATAAGCTGCAGGGATGTCCTGTGACCTTCTCTCTTTTAACCTCTCTTAACTTTCTGTCTCTGTGTCCACCTGTGTCCTGTTGGTGCGTGGGTGTGCATGTTTGTGTGGCATGTTCCCAGCCCCCATCATCTCGGTCTCGCTGTATTAATCTATCTTTCTTTTCTCTTTACACTCCTCCCTCTCTCCTCCTCCTGCTCCTCCTCCTTCTCCTCCTTCTGTAGCTGCGTGAAAATGCTCAACCTGTGGTGAGTCCCTCTCTGCTCGTCCACATCAGACTCATGGGACAGGGAGTGGACCAGCCTAGGCTGGGCCCAGTGGAGTTATTTACAAAATGTAACCAGACTCTCACTGGTGCATATTATATAGTGCCCACAAACACTGTCAGCTGTGTTTACTGCCAAGTTTCTGCCCGTTTTCTGCATTTAGTAAACCTTGCTGCCTGACAAACATTAATAAATAATATCAGGCCAGAAAGAAAAACTGTCTTTTTAATTATGGCTCCTTTATAACTAAACATTTGACTTTAGGTTATAGCCTTTTTGCATGGAACACCACTATTTGTTAAATATTAAATGAATCTGAGGGTACCCAGTCACTGTCCTATGTCCTAATCTGCTTTTTTCTTGTCTTTGTATGTTCTTATTAACCGTTCAGGCTCACCGTGTCCTGTGACTTTTGTGTTCACTGCTTCCTTTTTAATTTATTTTTAAAGATTTTACCTAGAAGTATTGCCTTCAGAGTCAGTTTGTAGTTTTTGGTTCTCTGCCATTTGTCTGTTAAAATGGTGGGAGGTGAATACGCCAAACGCTTGGTGGATGGGAACACATCCATTGTGTCCATGTTAAGGTGTTACTGAGTTTTTACTGTTCTGGTATAAAAGACAAAGAAATAAGACTCAGATGAGGCTCCTGTGATATTTGACACACTGCCGTGTTTGTTCTTTCTCGTGCTTCTCTCATCCACGCGCTCATTTAACGTCCACGTCTTTCTGCAGGTGTTGCTGTTTCTTCAAGCGGAAACGGAAGAAGAACACGCCACGGCAAAAATGATCACGCAGCACCAGCCTGAAACGTTCCAGCTGTTTGGCTCAGTCGATTGTGATTTTATTCGAAATCAGTAAGGTCCCGTTCAGAATAGAAGAGGGAGTCATCTGAGAGATCTTGATTGAATTGTTCTCCGTTTTTTGGACAAGTTTAAAAACGGTTTGCTGAGATGTACAAGATGCTTGTGTCTTCTTGTGGGATTTTTTTGTTGTTGTTGTCCTTTTTCTTCTTCTTCGCCCTCCACCCCTCTGTCAAGCTGTGCCGGGTTGTGTTGCAGGTCAGTCAGCCAAATGGGGAAAAAACCTTTCTGATGGAATCTTTTTTCCTTCCTCCCCCAAGACTCCCAACATCAGTATTTTTTTTCCTCTTTTTTTTTTTTTTTTTTTTTTTTCTCCTGAAGAGGAAGAGATGGCACCTCCTGTGGAAACTTGCTTCACTACGATTCCTGCTTGACTCATAAAATCATCATCTTCAGTTCCTTTCTAATCTCCTAAATGCATCCTGCCCTCAGTTTGCAAACTCATTATGACACAAAGCCCTTTATGATGATTCCTGATGTAGGAACTGAATGTAACACAAGAAGAGCCAAGAGTGTAACCGCCTATCGTCACATACAGGCACAAAGAGCATCAGTCTGCCATTTGGCCTCTGCACGTTATATTTTTTGTTGTTGTTGTTGTTTTCTTTTTCCCCCCGTCCTCCAAAGAGGTCAACTCTGGCACTGGGACCGGGGCCTGAGACATCAGAAAACAGAGACGCCTCATGTACAGTGTTCTCTGCTCATGCTGCTTGGTTAAAGCGCTCCCCTTAACCTCGCTGCTGTCAAAACACACTACAGTCTCTTTGGACTCTCCTGCAGTTTTTGCTCCTACCCTTCGCTGAGCAGCAACATGACACTTGTAGATGCAGGGGGGTGGGAAAACAAATGCTATTTATGCTATTTATCTCTCGGTTTCCACCAGTTTTTCCTACTAATTCTTAAACATACGCACTGAATGTATGGACGGTAAAATAAATGACTTTAAAGCATTTATATAATCTGTCACGTGCACGGGAATGAAATTGCAGTTGGGGAGCTGAGACCAATGTTTAAAAAAAAAAAAAAAAAAGGTGACCAAAACTAGGTGGGAGGGTCTTAAATGTTGTTGATCTTGTAGACATTGGGGGATGCTTTGGAATAACATGAGGAAAAAGTGATGTGAGGCACTTTTGGAGAATCACAGCCTCTGAAACGCTTCTGTCCAATGCCTTAACCCCCCGACCAACCTACTGACCGACCAACCGACCGCAGTCACATCACCACTTGGATGACACGTTGGCGGCATAGTTAATGTGAGATTTCAGTGTCTTTTTTTTCTTTTCTTTTCTTTTTCCCGTCCCCTCCCCTTTTGGTTATCCTGTGTAATAAAGAGTACCAGACTGTTCCCAGCTAGTGTGAGAGCAGTTAACGACTTCCCCTTTGTTGACACACTGAAGATGTATTCCCAAGAAAGTGATGCCAAATGGAACGTTTTGGTGTAATGATGTGTAACGGTGTTCCAGATGTCCCCCGTCCCCCAGTTACCCTTGTGCGTACCAGTGTGAAGACCCCACGTGCTGCAAAGTGGTGACGTTTGGACGACTGCTGAACCCCCTTCTCCTTGTCAGCACGGGAGAGGAGAAAAGAGAGGGCGGAGAAGTGAACGTGTCTGTACCATTCTCACTCTTTATTTAGTGTCACGGAGGACTGCCTTGAAACAAAATCCTCAGTACGTCACCTTGCCTATCCTCCTAACAGAATGAATTACCATATGTGTGTTCTTTTTCTTTTAAATTTTACATCTTATGCTAATGTGAATTTGTTGAATGCAATTTTTTTTTCATTCCAAATAGCCATGGTTTTATGGGGAAAGAGAGGTTAAACAAACAAACAAACAAAAAAAAGCTTGAGACCACGACTGCACTACATTTGTTGACCCCGGCTTTCCCTGACGAGACCCTGCCTTCTTAATACTGTACTTTAAATGTGCTTATTACTTTAATTGTAGCTGCCTCGTGTGCTAGGCCTTCCCTATAGGGTGCAGGGAATGCACACAAACACACACACACTCTTCTGTTTGTTTTTTTTGCCCCACCCACTTTTTTTGTTTGTGTGTGTGCCATGACGGCTTCCCTTCACTCCATTTCCCTCTGTCCACACACACACTCATTCATCCAAGACCAAGATGAGTGGAGTTTCAGGTTTGTCTCCATCATCTTTAGAAATATGATGTTGTAGATGTTGCAGATATTTCTCAATGAATCAGTATGTAAACCTGCTTGTTATATGTATTTACACTGTATAGCTTCCAGTTTATTATTATTTTTTTAACCCCTGACATGTTGGTTACTCTGGGGTCTAAGTTATTGTGTTATTGAAAGTACTTGAATTTGAAAATCTACGGGACCTTTTCTTCTTTTCTTTTTTTACCCCTTTTCTTTTCTCGGGCGTTACCATAGTAATTCCACACATAGGATTTGAGGGGAACGGTGGGAAAACCAGGCTATCTGAATGACAGGTATTCATGTCTCTGATATGTCTTAATGCCTCTTAAAGTTTATTTTTTCCCAGACAAACACGGCTTGGCCATTTCATTCCAGCTGCCTGAGGAAAAAACTCAAAGTATTCTGATATGGATATCCAGACTGTAGCCTTCAGTCTTTCCCCCCATGGATTTCCCTGAGTGCCATTTCCTGAGACTACTACTAGCCCATGCCTTTTACCTGTGCCAGGAAAATATGAAGTTGAATGTTTTATTATTTTAGTTTTTTCTGTCTTTGGATGATTGCATTCCACCATGTGTCCTTGAAAGGGTCCGCTGTCATTTTTGGGAAGAATCCTCGAGCAAGCGTGGCTCAGCGCAGCAAAGCGTTGCAGTGAAAGTGTTTCACGAGTCGTTCCTGTTGGTTTCTTTCATTCACAATGTCACTGGAGAGAAACTGGACACCAGGTTTATTATTCCCGAGTCGGATGTTGTGACTGATCATCTTTGCGACATTTTCTTCTTCCGTTAAAGCTTGCAGGCTGTCCAGCTCTTCAGCTCCCGGCTGAAATGCTCGATATGTTACTCTGATGTATCCGCTTTTCTTACTGTTGGCCTCATGCAGAGTGGTATAGGAGTGCTCTGCGTGACTTGTATCTGCATGGCTTACCTGGAGACTCTTTCTCTCTCTCAGTCTCCAGCGAATTTCCTCACCTGTAGGGCTCGTATACTGTTGGGTCAGTGAGTCAGTTTTGGCTTCCAGGCCTCATGTAAAATACATCAAACATTTTCATGTCTTCATTCCTTTTCAGCGGCCATTATTTCTTACACAGTTCACTTCAGTCAGACTTTGGATGTGTGGAACTTAGTCAAAGCAGAGGACGGTGTGAAGTGTGAATGAACGGCTTCGGTCTCTTTGGGTTCTCTGGCACTTTTTCCTCGTTGCTGTACTGTAGACTTACTGTGTGTTGGATTTACTGTATTTTTGTTTTTTTGAGGGAGAGGTGACATTTGCTACAATATTGTGATGATTATTTGAACTGTAAATTGTACAGAGTTCACAATTGTAGTCTCTTTTCTGTTGGGAATCCATATAAAATCGTATTCTCTGATCATTTTTTCCTTTTTCTGTTTTTTTTTGTTTTTTTGTTGTTGTTTTTTTCCCCTGACTGTGGAAAATCAAATTGTACAGCTCCAGAGTTTATCCTCCTCCCTCGGCATTGTTTGTTTTTATTTTTTAGAGCCTATGATTAAGAGGAATCTTAAAACTGTAAATAAATATTATTGTGCTGAAATATGAATGTCACTTCAAAAATGTATTTGAATGAGTTAGTCAAGGGCTTCAAGAATGAAGGACCCACATTTCTTTTTATGGTTTCATATTTTTGATTTGCAGAAAGGTAAAGGTCCTTTTTATCTGAGATGCCTATATTTTATTTTGTTTTTGTTTTTTTCTCTTTGGATTCATATAATACAATGTGTCACACATGAACCTTATAAAAATCACTTTTTATTCCCTCCACACCTAAAGGGAAAACTCCAATTTGCACCCTTTTTTATGTAAAATAAAAGATCTCTCCACCTTGTGGGCATGTCTCTTGTGACGTGATTTTTGTAAAGTCTGCTTCAGGAAATGTTTTGACTTTGATCAATTTTTTAATGTGTGTGACTTATAAACCCAGCAGATTTGGACCTTCATATTCAGAAACCAGAAATGCTGTTTTCAGCTCAGTGTCTGTATAGGGATCTTTGAAGTTTTCTATCAGGTCAGCTGTTTGAAGACAAGTTTTACTTTGTTTTAGAGTTTGACTGATAGAGGAGACCAAAATATTAGAGATATCAGCCAATATTTTTTTTTCCTTATGTGGAAGTTTTATACTGTCCTCTGGTGGACAAACAGTGCATCACCACCTACAAGGTTGAAGGGTGTTTCTCCCATCTTTTTCTTAATTGTATTGGTTTGATATTAATGCTGATACCTATAGACTGGCAAATGTCTAAGATTAGTCTTGCAAATAAGTTGGATGGGTTGATAAAAGATATACATTTGTGTCACAGCAGCCAAAACAAGAATGTGGCTCATAAAAATAAAGCTTTTACCATCAAATAGCTGAGGAAAGAAAATACACAAATTAGCTCACTTGAATTAAGATGTGGAAAGGTCAATCTGCAGGCTTTGAATTAGAATTGGAATTTCATAACAAACTCAGATTTTGCTCTTTAAAGGTTTTTAACACCATTATGGCCGGCCAATGTAAACGGACCATTTCAAAACAAACTGGTGTTGGAGGTATTTTGACAAAAGTTTCCTTTTTACATCTGTCACAATAAGGTATTGCACGTAGTTTTAGCTACATTATCATGTAAGTTGTGAAATGGTTTTAATAAAGACAGGTCACATTTCTTTTTTTAAATGTTTTTTATAAATCCCTTTACTCCTAAGATTTATATTTTGTTGCTAGACAGCTTGAAAACTGTCACTTAGCAAATTAAAAATATATTAAAATATATTTCACGCTCAAAAATCAAATTTCATCTTGGACTGAGACAGTCTTAGTCCCTTGGGGCTGCTTTGCACAGAAAATATTTGAAAATAAACAAATTTCATTTTGTAGCAAAATGTTAAACCTCTGAGCAGTGCACTCCAGGTTTTAATTTACTGTATCAGTCTAATTAGT